GTAATAAATATGATATTTATAGGGAGATTTACGTCGAATGTGGAGCGAACCATTCATATCTCAACAACCTTCCAAACATATGGAAGTTTGACAACAATCATGGGTTTGTGTATATTACACATTATGGAAAGAAAACTAATTGTAAAATCCTATTGTCACTTATCATAACATCCTTATTTTTATCAATGTCATTTAATGTAAGTAATTTTTTTTATACTTGCGTCTTTTAATGCTACAATGCAAATTACACAATTTCATACACGGGAAAAATAAAATATACTATATTTTGACATTGATTTAATATAAAATTAAAAATATAATACAAACGGAAAAGTCTTTTTATTAAATTAAAAGATAAAACTGTTTTTGAAAAAGTTTTATATTTAAAATACTGATTATAGTAACGTTCATTTTATATCTTAAATTCAATATTAAATAAATAAATGAACGTATAAATGATATCAATTACTATTTCTGTAAATGAAAACGCGTTCTAAAATTCATTTGAAAAATGGATACATATTTTTTTTTAATTTTACAGTGAGTTTATTATACAAATTTTTAATATTTCAAAATACACAATTTTTTTATTCCTTTTTTTTTTACATTAAAAATAAAATATATATACATATTAATAATTTCACTATAACACCGTTACAAATGTATGTGATATTCTGTGCAAAAAGATTCTTTTTAATTTATATTGTTTACCAGACTATTATATGTAACGTGTAGTTATGGATAGAATAATTTAATAATTATTCGACGATTTCGATAAAAATCTAGTAAACGTATGCGTGTAGGTTGTGATTTTCTTTTACGTGGAGCTAGCATTGAACAAAGCATTCTTTATGCAAACATGTATATAAATTTTGGTTTTTATAAACTTAAGGAAAAGTTTACAGTTCGTTATTAGAATAAATAGCAAGCAATTTCTATTTGCCAAATGTCTTGCTAACTTTATATAGCACGTTGGAAAATTTTGATGAAGCGAAAAATGAATGTTGTGAAATTTTATTGTCAAAAAGAAAAAAGAAATTGTGTATTCATATTTTGATTTTCAAAGACTATGTCTTCGATAAGAAAGAAGGATTTATGATTGAAAAATAGAGATTTTAACTAAGCTCTTGCTATGGATAGGCACCAGAAAGACTTTATATGTTTATTTAAAAACAAGACTGAAAGTAATATTGTATGAAAGCCAACATATTTAGAAGTCTGTCTCTCTTTCAAAAGAAAATCAATATTTCTGTTCAATTTTCATTATATCAATTTATAATATCATAGATTGATATGATACAATATATTATTATATATAATACAATATTACACAATATGTCTCAAATAGAATAATTGCTTTCATAATATTCATATTACTTATTGTAGATTATGAAAAATTTAGACTTTAAAATGTGTTAGTTGTTTACTGTTTGTTTTTATAATACTTTATTCATTACATTCTAAAGATTACGAACGAATTATATGTATGTATATTTGAATTTTGATCTGTAAATATATTTTATGGATAAGAATATTTTAAGAAAAGCGGTACGTTTTTTAATGTAATCTGTTTTACATCTAGAATGATATAACATGGTATTAGATGAGATAAATCACCGAATACAGATAATATTGGTTTAAAATAATCATAACTTGTACACTTGTATATTGACATAGAAATTAAACTCTAAACTTTACGTGGACGAAAAAAAAAAAAAAAGACATATTGCAATCTTATTAATTAGAAAAATTTCGGTACTTCATTTTTCTCTTTTCGTCCTTATTTTTATAATATTAATAGATTGATGTTAGTGTTATACAAAAACTAATAATTCTAAATTTTCTAAAAATGAATAAAATATTATTTATATACGCGATGATTTTTTGCTTACATTAATATGGATCAGAGAATTTAAGCAATTTTTACGAGATATCATATACAAGCTGTTTAATATCTTACTCATAAAAATACTCTTTTTGATACGATTAGTTTTTGTATAAAACTGTAATTCTTCCTATATTTTATTCACCTGTCCATAGCACAAGCAGTTATTCTTATTCATTATATGTCCTGAAATAATCTTTGGACACATCATTTCAAATCATATAGAAGAAATATCTATTTCTCTTATAAAATATAAGAACATAAGTGACAAAATATATTTTAACTACTTCCGTTATAAACGTAAAAAAAAAAAAAGAAAAAAAGAAAAAAAAAAGAAAAAAAAGACTTGAGATCATTGTTCAAGAGGATAAATTTAATAATTTAATAATTTTGCGTTTTATTAAAATTTAGAAAGCTTAAAACTCATTTTATGGTTTATTTTTTTCTTTGCTAAATTTTTGTTCTTCGTTTTAAATTATGCAGCATTAATATTTCATAATTTTTTATATACAATTTTGAAATTTTTTTTCTTAAATGTACATATTACATATATGTATATTATTAATATTAATATTCTATACATTAATTTTATATTATTAATTTCAATTCGATTTATTACAATTATTGCCAATTATCCAATTGATTTTTGTTAGTTAAATATTTTAGTTGAAAAACAAAAAATATTCATCAGAGATATTATGCAATAATAAAATGTGTTTCAATGCTTTCGTTGTTAGAGTGAAATCCCTGAATTATTTTTTGTATAGGAAAATGATTATATTATGTTCTTGCTTTAATTACATTTTCTATGTTTAATTCAAATTGTTTGTTCCTGTACAAACAAAATTTAATGCATAATAATGTAGAAAATATCGGATATAAGATCAAACTAGCAACTTAGTTTATGGTAAAAGTGAAAGATGCATAAAATTATATTTCTTCTTTTTTATAAAATTCATGTAACAAATCACGTTTTAATCATCGAGAATCTTCAAGTCTGATGGGTAATTTATTGTGACTAGGATATAATAAGTTTCAGAATGAGAAGCATGTACATAAATAACAC